GGAAGGGGTGAGTGCATTGGGATGGGAGTTGCTAGGGGGGTCTGGGTCTGAGGCAGAAGTGAGTGCATTGGGATGGGGGGGGGCACTAGGAGGGCCTGGCTGTGGGGGTGTTTGAGTGGAATGAATTTTGTTATGTACACCAATAGGGAGGCAATGTGAGACACATCACCTTTATATTGCTGCACATAACAAAGTTCATGTGGTGAGGGTAGGACCAAGGGGTTCTAAGTGTGGGAGGGGGCTCAAGCCTGGGACAGAGGTTTTGGGGTGAAAAGATGTGAGAGATCTGGCTGGAGGTGTGGAGCCAGGTTGAGGGGTCTGGGGTAAAGGAGAGTGCTCTGGGGCTACTGTGAGGAGAGAGGGTGGGGGGGAAGGGAAGGGAAGGGAGAAAGGCACCTCTTCCTGCTGTGGCAGCTTTGGGAATGAGGCTGCAAGATAAGTGCTCACTGCCCACCCCAGCAGGTTCCAGCTTGGAGCTGGGAGTAGGCCACCTATACAGATCCTGACACTATGGCTGGGCCCAGGTTGGACCAGGCTGCCCAGCCTGCAGCAGCGGGGGCAGGGCCACTGCAGCCATGGTTGCATTTGAGCTAGGCTAGGGGTAGGGTTGCCAGGTGTCGGGTTTTGAACCAGACAGTCCAGTATTTGAGCTTTCTGTTCAGGAAACAAATTGAGAAAATATAAATGTTCAGCATTTTCTAAATAAGATGTAATGTAGATTGTGTTGTCAAGTGTGTCTGGTATTTTTGTTGAAACCATCTGGCGACCCTAGGGCCAACCCAGCAAGTTCAGGCTGTCTTGGCCACAGCTGGATTCAGGCTTGGGATAGACGCACCAAGGTCAGGCCATCCCTTCCCCAGCCATGGCAGGTTGGAGGCTGGGTTAGATTGGGGTTGAGGCAGTCCTCTTTCAGCTGCGGCAGGTCCCTTCCTTAGGCCGGTTCCTTGAGGACCTGCATGGTGCTAAATAGGCAGCTGCATAGCTTACAGGAAATTTAGATCATGTTCCTTTTCAGTCTTCTCTCTTCTGTATACAGGCAGTTCCCTTGTTACGTACAAGATAGGGACTGTAGGTTTGTTCTTAAGTTGAATTTGTATGTAAGTCAGAACTGGTACATATTGTAGGGGAAACTCTAGCCAAACATTTCTCCAGAGCTCAGTTTTATTCTCCCACACCTCACTACCCTCAGTCCTTTATTCTCAAGCTGAGGTGTCTGCTGAGAAAAGCCGCTCTGCGTCTCCCTGGTCTGCTGGGGGAGGGGGGGCGCTAGCTTCGCGTCTCCCTGGTCTGCTGGGGGGAAGCAGCTAGTGCGGGGTTGCCTCACCCCGTTTGTAAGTAGGGATCTGATGTAAGTCGGATCCATGTAACCCCGGGGACTGCCTGTACTTTGCGTAATTCTTTCAACCATTCCACATAGGTTATTTTTTCCAAACTTTTATCTGTTGTTGTTGTTGCTTTCCTTTGAACCCTATTTAATATGCTCATATCTTTCTTACAATGAGGTGACCGAAACTAGAGACATAACTTCAGCTGAGACTTTGCCAGTGATGAGTGGAATGGAATAATTGCCTCCCATGTCTTACAAATGGCATTTCTGCTAGTACATCCCAGAATAACTTTTTTTTTTCAGCATCACATCATTGGCTTATAGTTAATTTGTGATCCACTATATTCCCCAGATCCTTTTTGGTATTACTGCTTGCTTTGCTAGATATTTCCAATTTTGTAGACGTTCATTTGATTTTTTTTTTCCCCACCTTCCTAAATATAGTTATTTGCATTTGTCTTGAGTGAATTTCAGTGATTCCCAGCAGCTGAACGATTTAGACTGAGTACTGGAGGAAGACTTGTGTCATTTGTGTGGAACTTCTTCTAAATTATAATTGACATCAAAACAAATGTGAAAGAACCAGCAAAGCAGAACTGTTGGCTCAGAATATTATTATTATATATGATGACGTTAACAAGTTCCTAAGCAGGAAGTGAAAAGAGAATCAATTTAGTGCCCCTTTGTTTCCAAGAAACACCATTATAAATTGGTAATTATCAGAAGATTTGTTTATAGACAGTCACTACTATTTAAACTAGTACAGCTAGCATTCTCCACAATGTTTAATGTTTTCATAATGCTAGACAGTTTGTCGGTTATGGGTATTTATTTATTAGAATAATATAAAAACGTTAATAGAACTGCCTGCTTGAGAAACAGATATCTTCACTGTAAATAAATTTAAAATGTAGATGTTCTTGAGTTCCACTAATCTGTTCTTAGAACTCAATGACACACTGGAAACTCAGTAAAAAATTGTGTGTTTGTTTAATCTCCATGTGGGTGTACATCTCATGTAAACAAGATTTTAGACCAATTCAAGGCCTAATTGGAAATGTAATAGTTTTCTAGTATGTTAATTGTGATTTGCATTTTGAAATGCAATACAAAGAAACATTACCCATTTAATCCTAATAATTGAAAGGTTGGCTAAATAAACATAATTTCTTAGAGGAAATTGCTATTCGAGTTGCCTTCATATTTATTATATTGTGTGTTGTCTCTATGGCCTCAACATTATGCTCGATACTTTTCGCGTGGACATGAAAAGACTACCCTGATCCTGACATGCCTATGCTCTAAATACCATGTAAATGAAGCAGGATGGAATGTGTGTGCTAGGTCCATGGTTTTAATGAATTTTATTTATTGTGTGGGCTGTATACATGGTATGAACTTCATTTCCTAATAAATGAAGAGTTGTACAAGTTTGACCATTTGCACAATCAGATTTTAGGGACTAAATTTATGCCTCCCCTTTCATAAGGGAGAGGGGCATTGTTTGGAGTCCTGCCTTTCCCATCTATCTGTGCACTCATGCACAACAAGAGGGGGGTTGGTCTATATCTTTTGGAATTATAGCTATTGTGTGACCATAGTTCGAAGCAAGTTTTATTTTATTGAGATCTTACTACAATTTATGTGAGGGTCAGCATTCATGTTTTAAAAGAGGTTGTGTGGATTTAAGTCTAATGGTCTATGGACTCCTTTATGTGCACAGACAATTAGAGATTAATAGATTCATTAGAAAATAGAAGAGAAACACTATGAAGATTCTGCTAGCTAACATGTTGCAGCTCAAAAGCAGATGTTACATGCCTTTTATTTCACTCTCATGCATGAAACCAAATGATGCCATTCTTGCTGACTTGTTTAGAAGTACAATATGCTGATGGCAATAATTGTGGCTTGATGAAATATCCAAGATAGGAAGTAATGTCCTTCATCCTTTCTGACATTAGAAATTCTGACTTTGATAATTTCTCAAGCAACAATCTTATAGTGCTTCAGATAGTTGTTTTATTTAGGGTCAGATTGGGGGCTGGTTGCAGAATAACTTAAGAACTTTATCTATTCTTGGCAGTTAGAACAAGGCACCTTGAAACCAACTTCCTCCTTTTCCCCTCCCCCTAACAAAACAAAACAAGAGCTTATATCTGAATCTACCTATTGACTAAATACTGACTTCATTTGACTTCTGTTTAGAAGGATTTAGCAGGCAACGCCTGACCTGCTGCTCTAGACCTTGGTTGCAGAATGGTTATGATATAGGAAGGGATCTACAAAGCTTATATAGTGTGAAAGATTGGCCTTGGTTTGACATTTGTGCTTGGTGTTCTTGCCAAGGATATTGCCTTTTTGTCAAAGTTGAGAGAGAATCAAAACATAGCAGCATGTGCCTAGTTTTGCTTCTGTGTATATGAAAAGATGGGCTATATATAAATGTATATAAATAAACCATTTGCTAAAGGAGTTTTGTGTTCATGGTGGAAACTCTGCAAGTAAATTCAGCAATATGTAGAAGGGAAAACATTCCAATTATATCTGACTCATAGCAGGCTGTACTTGTGTGTGAGCAGGCTGTGCAATACATAATCATATTATTACTGGAAAGGGTTCAGTTTTAACAGCAAAGACACATCTGAGTTGAGACAGCCTGTTTTAGGCCAAGCTTTCTTTTTCAGTTTAGGTGAATTGAAGGAAAGAATTTGTATGTAGTACATTCATCCACCTTGGCTTTCTAAAGGCATCGAGTTGTTTACAGTTTGTTTTTCCTCATTTTTGTAAAAAATGTGGGTTTTTTTAGGGAATGGTCCCTGGATGCATTGGAGGAAGAAATGAACTATAATACTGTAAATTAGTGTTGACATTAAAATAGTAATAATTGAAATTTATCATCTTAACATGCATTTAATTACTCTAAACAGTTACTTGTTGCTGTAGGTACTTTTTTAGGCAGTCAGTGATAGACTGGATCATGTTGGATTCTTATATGAAGGAGTTAAACAAAGCCCCAAACCAGACACTTTATTTTTGGTGTTAAACACAAGGATAGGTTCAACTTTACCCCTGGATCAAATTCCCTGCTCTGCCTCTTTTGATATGCTCAATAAGTTTCAGTACACATCGTGGTGGCTGGACTCAGAAATGTTCACTGACCTGTTTTGTTTAGTTTACTGTACAGTGTTTGAAAAAAAAAAAAAACTCACACAGCATATGAACAAGAAACAATCCCTCCTCCAATATTACACACATTTATTTTCACCTTGAGGTAAGAAAATGGAGAAGAATGCACATTTGATAAATTTAGTCTTGTAAAGTCCTCATTCTTGAAGATACTCAGACACCATGGTGATTGGCCTGCTATAAGAACCCAAATTGTAACAGTGCCCTGTGATTGAGTGTGTGATAATTACTCTGGTTTATTTTGTTTGTAGATGCTGTAACAATGGAGCTGAGCTGCACTCAAGTACCTCTTTATGTAAGTTCTACAACATTAGGCTTTTGCCCTAAGAGGCTCTTTCTTTTGGATAACAGCTTATTCAAGGCAGAATGAATTAAACAGAAAGCTGTTCCCTAGTTGACTGAGACTTTTAGGACATTGAATGTTGCTGTCTAATTGAGGAGTTTCTGGGGATACTGCTCTTTGAATATTATGGCTTATGTGGCTGAAGTTAGTTCAAAATGATTTTTCCTTCATGATAATTATTTTAGATTTTCTTAATTTCAGTACTTAAAAGCAGATACTACTTAAGAAGGGAAATCAGTTACTAAATAGCTTAAAGTTGGAACTGTGTTTCTGTTATAAACCTATACTTGCCATTTTCCTTCCCCTGCACATTTTCCTTCCTCATCAGATACAAACATGTACTCAGCTTCAAAATTGGTAGTCTATATATGTGGTTTTCTTCAACACAATATGGAATGATTGGATAAGAAATTTTTGTACGATGACACCTTCAAAGTAGAGGAACTGAACAGAGTTCATAAGCCATCTGACTTAGAAACAAAATAATACAGTGAATAAAATTTAGTTTACTGGACTCATCTGGAATCTGGTATTTTAGGATGAAAAGTTAGAGGATTAACCTTTTAATTTAAAAAGTTATTAATGTTGAGATTTATAATGGTGCTATAGAACTTCTGCTATCACAAGCTTGGGGTTTGCTTGTCAAAGAACTGCGGAGGTTCTGAGTTCTGTTGATCAGCAATAACATTTCTTTTTCTTTTCCTTGCAAATGTTGACCTCAAAAATTTGTAACCTGATGGAAGAAAAAGAAGATATCTGACAAAAGACTTTCTAGACAGAATAATGAGCTTTTTAACACTCTCTGGGAGTTCTCCCTCTCTGCAGACCTCAGAACATTCATATAACAGTTCCTTTTCCAAGCTCCCTGTTCAGTCTAAGGGGCTGTAGAGAGCAAGATTTGGGAAGGTAAAGGGTACTTCCTCTTTCTTGTAGAGCAGGGGTGGGCAATAAAACAAAAATGGCAGCCTACAGGCAGGCCACCACTGTTATGTTTACCTTCGCCTTTGCAGGTATCGGAGGATCACAGCTCTTGTTGGTTGCGAATCGCCATTCATGGCAATGCGAACAGCAGGCAGCGTCGGAAACCGGGATGTCACTTCCCACCACTTGCATTGGTCACGTAGGGCAATTTGCGGCCAATGAGAGCTGCGATCCTCTGATACCTGCAGAGGCGCAGGTAAACATGGAGGTGGGGGCCCTCCAGTGACTCAGGCCTGCAGGCCACATCCAGTCCGCAGGGTTAATTTTCCCACTTTTGTTGGAGAGCTACTGAGGTTTACAGGAGAGGAGAACCTGTAGTGAGTCTTGGGAGGCCTTATCATTCCCCCTGCAAGCCCTTATAGGCTTTCTGGCATGGGCATCTGGTAGCCTAGGCAGCTTTGCCTTTCCAAACCTCCTGGCATGGTTTCACCCAACTCTGCCCCGGAATGTCTGCTCTCTGCGATCTAGGGGCGGAATGTTGCTGCACCCAGTGCCCACCCTCCCTCCCCATGCTCCGGGTGGGGAGGTTAGAGCTGTGCATCGTCCTCCCTCTGTGCTGGGAAGTCTGGAGCCACGTGGCACGGCTTCCTTCCTCCTCTGGTGTTATGGGGCTGGGGCTGTGTCACATGCCCTTCTCCTTCCCCTGGTGTTCTACGGCTGGAGCCTTACCACGCTCCCTCTTCAGTGTGCTGGAGTAAGCTCGTGCCCACCCACTCCCCTCCCTCATTGTGTTTGGGGGGGAGCATGCGCAGAGGGGTGCCCTGCCTCCCTGTGGGAGGGAGCAGGGTCTCAGCAGAAGGGGCAGGACTCGAGGTGGGGCTGGGAACTTGCCTCCACCAGCCCTACCTTCATCAACTGTCCATGCTTGCTGGGTTAATCTCCCCAAGCTGTAGTCTCGGTGAAAGCCCATTGCTGAATATGAGATTTGGGAAGCTCACTGAAGCTCATCCTCAACCCCAAAAAACTTTAGTAAATTTGTTAGCCCCAGATAAGTCTATTTTGACTATTGGGCAGTGATGATGTCCCTAACCCCTGTTTCCTAGAAGCTGGGAATGGGCAGCTGGGCATGGATCACTTGATGATTCCCTGTTCCGTTCATTGCCTTTGGGTTACTGTTGGAAGACAGGATACTTGGCTAGATGGCCCTTTGATCTGACCCAGTGTGGCTGTTCTTATGTTCTTATTGGAGGTCTCATGGGCATAGTTTGGTTTGCAGTTGTACAGTTGCCAACTATTCCTCTTAGGCTTATCAGGATGGTGGTGGTGGTTTGGGAGGGCACTATTGATCCCCACAAAATCTGGGAGATGGTGGGTTTTGAACTTCCTAGGATCAGCGGAGAGAGAGTCAGAAGCAGCTAGTGTCCTGATGAGTTTTATATGTGTCTCAGAAGCTGGTGTTCAAGACTGAATAGCTGTTAAGACTGACATGGAGGATGCAAATATTCTGGGACTCGTGGGGTGCCTTACAAGCCCCCTTGGGCCCATGGGAGAAGTAGATGGTTCCTATAAACTGTGGTTCCTGGGGAGTCCCTCATAAAACTAATGATGCTTACTAGGAGGTTGATGCAGCTATCCAGGTGGAGTCTATTTGTGTGCTAACCTCCCTCTTCCTCCCCCCCCCCCCTCCTTCATAGGCTTCTCTTCTAAGGGTCTTGCCAATCATGGTATTTTCCTTGCTTGGGTAATTCTCAATTTAACTGGGAAAACAACTGAAGAGTCTGTTCTATCCTGTGTGAAGGAGCCTTTGAGTAAGTACATTTTCTTTTTGCCAGGTCCAATTATTGTGCACATGTGTCTTGAAAAGTCCTTATATTTGAACAACTCCTGCCTTATTTGCATGGCTTTCATGGAAAACACAACCCAGTCAGTATTTGAATTAGATGTGAAAGTGGTTCTTTTGTCCATATTCATTAAGGAGTATTGTGGCTTTTTGAGTTTGTTTGAAATAGCCTGAATTTTGGTCTCTAAAGATGATGTATCATGATGTGAGTCCAAGTTTTAGTTAATAAGAAAAATATTGGAATTAAGCATGTCTCTTTTTCAGGAAGTGTGGAATAACAGTGAAAAGGGTGATGCATATATACTGAGCTTATGCAACTTGAAAAATTCAGTATTACATTGTAAGACATTGTTTCCAGCAGAAGTAAAATGATTTAGCTCAATGTGTTCTCCACTCAGTCTGTTAGAGAATCTCACAATGAAAACTGGGGTACTCAGGATCTCCTTTTATGTTAAAACCATCAGATGTTCAGGCACACATGTGAGTGTGACCTGCTCCCAAGTAACCCAGGGAAGAAAAAGGAGTTACACAATATAATTACTACATCCATAAATGTCATGGTTTCATAAATAAATTATAATGAAAGAGAAAATTAAAGGCTTCAAAGTACATGATTTTCAGCTAATAGGATCTGAAGAGTAAAGCATTATTGTTCAATTACAAAATTTTCATCTGTAAACCACTCAAATGTTCAGGATTACTCAGTCCAGTATCACCTGATTATGTTGTTTTATTAATGTTATTCTGTGTAGTCCACTTCTCCAATAATTTTGTCTCATGTGAGTCGAGGTAGTTTTAGTTCAGATAAATTGAACTTATAACATTTTTGTTTCATTCTCTTAAAATGTATTAATTTTTAATTCAAAGAATGTAAAATGACTTGGAGAAAATGAGCATTTGATGAAACACTTGCGAGATGTTAAAAGCTTTTAAATTAAGGGAACTCTACTATTGTAATCCATAATTGAAAATAATTGCTAGCATATAAAGAAGCAAGTGGTTTTATGTAAAAGTCAAAGTTTAGAGGTCTCAGAAGTCTGTGAAGTACACTGCACTGAGAGCCTGACAGATGCTGCACTTAGGGGGATGGTATTTGGAGGACAATAGAGGAGACAGAGGCATGTCCTAAAACCTAGTAGATCTTTGAGATACATCAGGAGGAAAAGCTTCTGTCTGTTTTCCTCCCTTCTCAACTCCCACTGCACCTACTCACTAGATTCCTTGGGCCCTCAAAATATTCTTTTCTGAAATACTGTATTGTTGCTTTATATGACCCTATCTCTTATTGTGCTGGATTGAACAAGTTTGGGTCATTGGTTTCAAGTTTCTCTTGGATTCTGACCTTTCCCATCAGTCCCCTGAGCTTACTGTCTCATGCATTATGAGAGGATGTTTGTTAGAGTGTCTAAACTTTTCAAATTATTAGAAGCACTTTGTTGATATTTAACTCCCAGACTTCCGGTGTTGGCCTGCCTATTTAACATTATTCAGTGTCATCGTTATTTAAAGTACATTTAGTCAGAAAAGAAGAATCCACCACCCAGAAGCCATCTCCATTAAATGGTTCCCAGCCAGAGCTGCTTCCTGAACCCCTGTCCCATCCTGAACCTCCTCCGACACTCAACCTCCTGCCTCAGACACGGGTCCATCTGCACTCAAACTCCTTCCCCGACCTTGCACCCAGAACCCCCTCCTGAACCCTAATCCCCCACCCTAGGCTAAGCCCGGAGCCCCTCCCCCAGTCTGAACCCTTTGGCCCAAGACTGTTTAGTGCCCCTTTGGTTGCAGACTCTCCCAGACTGGGCCACTCAGATGCCATTTGCAGCAATCGCATCCAGTCTGGGAGAGTTAACAACCCTAGCCTCTCACTACCCCTAGGCTGTAATCACAGCTGGGGGCAACTGCTGAGCACTGGCAGCAGGACCCTGGGCATCAGGGGAGTCTCCAGGGCTGGTGGGTACGGGTGGGGCTGGTAGGCGATGGGACTCAAAGGGCTGGTGGAGACTGGTAGACTATGGCATAGCAGATGGGGCCAGGAGTCCCTACAGGAGGCTGCCTTGAGGCCAGGGTCCAGGACTGGCCAAACTGGAGGTGAGTCAGCAGTGGGGCTGGCCCCTAGGCCTGGGGAAGTTGGATACAACCTTGGGAGTACTGCGGCTTTCCCCACATCCCTACTTCCCATGCTTATGGC